CAATAACATATTTATGACACCAGTCACACTGTAGTCACAGTGCAGCCTAACCAAGGTGTTGAAGGTCTTCCCATAAGAAAGTAGTAAGCATATTATATGCCCACCTAATATTCCATGCTAAAATACTACAAGTGTAGTACAAAGCCAACCTCAGACCTGCCAGAACCCCCCCAAACTTTCGTATAGCAAAAGTTTTTTTTACCACCCCTGGGACCCCCCCTACCCCATGTCCGTGATAAGGATCTTGGGACCCCCTTGGTTCATTGGGTGACATGTTACACCCACTGAACTTACAGTCGAAATCATACAGTAATCATAAATCATGATGAATCTTAGAAGTATTACATCCATCTCGGACCAATCAATATTTTGTAGATTTGTTTAGCAAAAATGTCAAGCAACAGCAGACCCCAGACAGGAGCATCACCGTCCCGGTGCCATCAGGCCTACAGCCCTAATTGCCATTGGCTTTGCCTTAGGTGTGACCAGCTGCCAAAGAATAGACTAGATTACTTCATAACCTCTGACAGTGAATTGCCAAAGGAGATATTAAATGCCTGGAGGATCCAAAGAGAAGAAACTCTAAGCGTCCACCTGCTAGGGTGCCAACTATATACTGGTTGTCTATAACTGCCAATGTAGGGGTTGTGAGCAGGCACGCTGCGTGCCTGTGCCGCACGCAGTTAGCTTTTGTGAGCTGTCAGCTGGCCATCATCGTGCCATGTGCTGCATTCAGGATGCCAAGAGCTACCAGGGGCTGGTTTGTGGGGGAGGGGAGTTTAGCACATTCTTTGCTGAGTTTAGAGTTCTAAAATTCCTGTTTTCAGTGCATAAGGGCAAAACTGAGTCTTATTCATGTTCTACACGGAATTTTCCTGGTGGATCTCCTGGGCCAGTCATTCTCCCCCATCAATAGCATGCCCTGCTATGCCTGGCACAACTCCCCTCCCCTTGCTGTCCTCACGCCACCACTGCACTACCCTAGGTTCTGCATATGACACGGTGACAAGGCACCGGCCCAATGCTATGGTCCCGTCTCCGACCTTTAAAATGGCGTACCGGGATGTCCACACAAGCATGCTGGCCCATCATGCTCGGCTTCAGCCGACATGGATGCAGGTGGAGTCAAATGCCCCAACCCACCACCAAACACTGAAGCCGCGAGCCAGCTCTGCCCTTTTCAAACGGCGCTCTTTCTCACCATCGTTCAGTGCGGTCCCTTGGGTTGGTGGGTTAGATCAAAAATTTGAAATTTTCAAATAAATTTTTTCCAAGTCAAAATTCAAACTTTTTTTTGGCAACTTTTGCCAAAAGTTTTTTACCTAATTATTAGTAAGAAAAATGTCAGACTATATATAGAGAAAAAACTAGGGTCTTGATGGATCAGATTGTACAGGCGAAGGAGGCTATGGACAATGGTTGGGATGGATTGGAGTGGTTGGGCATATCTTGGATGTGCTTGGATGGTCCAAGAGAGGCCAAAGTATGGGTTCCCTGACATCACCCCCCTTCAATGTGGCACTGGATGCAGTATCACAATAATCTGATTAGGAAGGCGGGTCACAGTATTGATAAAACCCTTCAACCCATGTAAAAATATTTGACCATTGGGACCCTAACCAAGAGTCTCTAAGCACTCAGTGATAAGACCCATATACTGTCCTATTTCGATCAACCCGCCGGACAAGGTGTCCGGATTACTATAAAAGGCAAATCTGGCGTTAGCCGCAACAAAATTGCCTTTTTAAGGCTGTTTTTGATTGGAAACCGGCCCCGAACGCGTAACAGAGGCCACAGGTGTCCACACCGCGACCGCCTGTAACGTGTAACCCGGACAGTTGATTGAAATGGGACAGTACTCACAATAAGACATCAATACTTATACATATATGAAACTTGAATATACTGGCATAGTGCTGTCCAATTATGGATATAATTATGAAATCTTCATAATATACTCATATCCATATGATAATCATGGTCTTTGTCCATAATTATATCATACTCATAATCATCAAGTATATATTTGATTATACTCAGAATATAATTGATTATTTTAGGCCCACTTGGGCGTTCTGGCTTGTACCGGGAGCATGTGATGGCACATGCCCCATGCGCGCATTGTGTCCGGGCCTTGCCGCACCCATTGTTCTCTGCTTCATTGTTCACACAAAGCATGATCTAGATCTAGATAATATTTTGAGCAAGATACAGCTGTACATAATCTAAGTAATCTATGTTGCTGAATATCATTGATGACGATGTGGCCGCTTCTCAGGGGAAGGAGGAAGAAGGCGCTGCCGCTTAGGCAAGTGACTATCCTCGTCTTCATCGTCTTCCAGCGCTGCCCGAATTCGGGCCGAGGTCCCCTGGCTCGTACTTGGAGCCACAACAACAGGAACCCCAGCATGGCGCGCACGGAACTGAGTGGCGAGCAGGCCAAACATCGCTTCAAATTTCTCGAGGCGGGCATTTTCAGCCTCTGTGAATGCAGCGGGTTCAGCAGAGTTCTGTAGAGCATCCAGACAAATGCCGAGTGTGTGTTCAACGCGGTCCAACTCAAAAAACAGGCTTGCACTTCGAAGGCACTCATCGACGCTGGCGGAATGTGAGCAGTTTGTGTTTGCGGAGAGTCATCATCGAGTGCGGGAAGTGGGGGGAGCAACAAAGGCTGCAGCAACTCCTCTGAGTCGCCAACACCAGTGTCAATCTCCTCCATCTCGTTATCCTCTGTCTCATCCGAGTCAGGCTCTGAGTCATCGGTGGATTCGGCCCCAATGACAGTTGCACTCCAGGCCAGTGCAGACTGGATGTGGTCGCAAAGGGTGGGCTGTGTTGTTTCCGCGAGAGTGAATTCTGAGCTTTATTTGGAGCTTGACAGCTTGCTGTCGGGTCTCGGGGAAAGGAATCTCGTCTGTCTGGGGAATATTTCGAATCCCCTGGTGGACTTGTTGAGGTGATTTCGCCAGAGCGTCAAGAGCTTGACGAGGATCTCCGTGTCATATCCGGCAGACGACTGCTGATTTCCTGTTGGGGCCGGAAACAAGAGGAATGCCAAGGGAACACCTTTGTGATTCTTGTCGACGCCCATTGCAATGAACAGCAACACTCGTGAGTCGGTGACCCCGAATGTGCCATCTAAAAGCAGCTGTCCGCGATGCGTGTACTTCCACGCAGCATTGTCCATCTCCGACGTTGCCACACAGACTTCAATACGGTCCTCCCGCGATGTGCATGCCGAGTAATGGAAAATTGTGTCCACCAATGCCGGCTTGTAGTCGCGGGAAGAGGAGTCAAGCCAACTGTTGATATTATACTCGACTTTTTGGACAACCTTGATGCCGCTAAGACACCAATATTGGCGCAAGAGCGTGCGGGTGTCCTTCCTTTGATTCAAAAGCCAGCGGTGTGGGTCTTTGGAGTGGTCGGCAGGGAAATTTGAGTACTTGTGATGGCGGAGGCGGTCCACATTTGCACGAAAAACAGATTGCCTTATTGCACCATCACTGGCAAGCAGCTGCAGCTGTGCATACTCAAGCACTTACGGAGCAATTGGATGTCGGGGGCGATGTTCAAGCATGACGCTGTTGCAGCCCTTCTTGTGCACAGGCATGCCGCGAATGCGGAGGATGGCGCGTGAGGGTGGGTGCAAGGTAACTTCGAGATGAGCAGTGCATCCTGTATACTCGAACGCCGCCTTGCGTGTTTTGGTTCCACAAACAGTATGGTCGTAACTACATGTACTGCATAGGATTGTGAGTAAAATGGAATGATATTGGAGGGCACGAGCATACCACTGGAGGAGGAATCGCCTAAATCCCTACTGCGGAGGCGGCTGACCCTTCTCCTGTCCCTTGTACATTGACCATTAGATAGACCAGCGTCCCGAAGGACACGGGCCATCAGGGTAATGGGTGACTCCAAAGGTCTCAAGCTGAGTTATTGCTTGTACCTGTGCAGCAGGGTTGTTTGTGTGGTCATAGATCATGTCGACAAGCTCCGAGTCGTGATTATATATTTCATAGTAGCACAAGATGATGGCGGTGACGCCCGCACTGACGTGAAGCTTCTTGACAGGTATCTTCATCCTCAGATCACCGGCATCGAGTAGCGGGATGCCATTGGGCGGGAGTGTTCGGTCTTTAGGCTGGGCGACCATGCACACGCAGGGCAGGAGGGCGGGAAAGGTGAAGAGCAGTTGCGGGTGGTGGCACAGATGAGAGATATTGAAGCGCAGTTGGTTGGTGCACGAAAATACATGGCATTGTCCAGGTGCAAGAGTCGGGGCTGGGGGACCGGCCGGAGTATGTGGCGACATGGGAGGGCACAGTCAAAGTGGTGAGTCGCCGGTGACAGATTGTGTCGATCGCCGATCATTGATGCACGTGCCGTGACATGCTCCCTGTATAGGCCAATAAACCGCCCACTTGTAACACTAGAAATGCATGTCAATTAGCTGAGATTAGACTTTTTACCTATCCATGATATTTTACAATAGCTGGTATTCATAAGAGGTTCATATAAGATGATATGTCATTGAACTATATTAATCACATGATCTGATTAAATCCTACCAACTTGACCAAATTTACTTCTCACTGCTTCTAACTGACTGGAGAATATCAACAGTTTTTATTCTCACATCTTGAATTTCTTTAATAGGTGAAAAATACTGAAAATGTTTGATTTGTGAGGAGTTGATGGGCCAGATACCATCAAAAATATGATATAAATCTGACCTTGGCATAAGGTAATTATAATCATATTTAATCATAATCATATTTTCTTGAATGATTATAGAGAAGGCATATTATAATCATATTTAATTGATTATACTCAAAATATAATCTGGCATAATATAATTGTGGACAGCACTATACTGGCATATTTTAATCAATTGTCAAAAACAGCCTTAAAAGGTCATGTATCATCTGTTACATGCCCCAGAAACTTGATCAAAATCGGACATTAGTCCCTTGAGCCCAATTGAAACTAACACATCAGAACACCCTTGCAACACTATGATAGGATTCGCGTCTTGCCTTAGACTCAGCCTCATTAGAATCCTTTGCATGTGGCAGGACGTCGGACCCGCGTACACGGACAGTTTTGAGGCATGTACGCGGCGCAAGCACCAGTGTCAGCGCGTTGTCATCTGAATTTGGTTCAGTCAATATCCGTATGATGCGGTGAACAGCGCGGTCGAAGAGCACGCACCCACGCAGCTCGTAAAGAATGTCAGCTCCAAGTTCTCTAGAATCGGGGCGGCGACGAGGAAGCCGGTAAGGCAGTCTAGCTCGTATGACACCAGATCTTCCACGTGTAAGCTGCGCAGATTGTCCATCCCAACGAGCGTGAGCCACGGGAGGAAAGCGATGGAAGACCGGCGGATGGTAAGGCTCTGTAGCAGCGACGGCACAGCGGCCGACGCAAGATTACCGGTGGCACGCGCCGCGGCCGGCCGGAACGGAATGCCGGCCACACCGTCGAGCGCGAGTGTCTTCAGCCGCGGGAGCGCGGCGCAGAGCCTCGGGACGTTCGGGCCAAGACAGACGGCGCCGCTCGCGAGCGACAGGTGCTCCACGTGCGGGCCGAGCGCACGGAGGAATGGCCAGCAGAGCTCCGTTAGCGCGAGGCACGTTATATGCGGGAGGAGCGCGACGCGCGGCGCGAGCTGGAGGAGTGTGACGGTGACAAATGTGGTCCGCGTCGGGTCGGGACGGAGGCGGACGGGTGCGAGGGTGTCGCGGACGGAGAGGGTGTTGACGGAGGCGGAGAGCGTCTCGTGTGGGCTTGCGAGGAGGACATCGAGTTGCAGCGCCCGGAGCGCGGCGGCCTCGGGCGACTTGTGTGGCTGGATAATGGACAGCGATAGCGCGGAAAAGCCGTGAAACCGGCTCGCGGGCACCCAGGCACGGCAGACGGCGGCTGTCCCCAGTAGCGTAGTAGGCTGGTCATGCAGGTGGTCGAGCACGGCGTCCCAGAGCTCGAGGGGAAGGTTCACCATAGGGGGCGAAAGAAAAGGCCGGGCGTACTGGTATATCACTCCTGATAACTTTGCCCCTGCTCATTGTCCCGTGGGAGCCCCGGGGTCAAAGCGAGTCACGATCGCCACTTCGCGTGGGCGCCGCGGGGAAGACGCCTCGTGTTTCCCCAGGAGGAGGCTTCGGACAATGGCGGACGGAGGAAACGTGGTGATTGAGTTGGCGGCCGCACTGGTTGCCATATGATCATGGGTCACAGACCCACTGAATTAAATAAGATAACCGTTATTCCCTGCTGATTACCTTTGAAAGTGATAACCCAAATACATTTAAAATAATACATTGTATGCAAAATTAACTTAAACAAATTAAAGAAAGATTTATAGTATCCAATCATAGAAGCAACTTGAAATGGCTTAGTCATGTATTTTAAAGATATCTGAAGCTTCAAGGTGATCCAGAACTGGACCTGTGAGTCATAGGTCAGTGACTGTACAGGTCTGGGTCTAAGTCAGCCTCCTGAGACCCATGTGTCAACCTGTGCTCATCCCTACAGCTGAGCTGCTATCCTTGCTTCTATATAGGTCTATCACAAGCCTAAAGAATATTCTTAAAATAAATGCTTACAGAGTTTCACAATAGCTGCATACATATTGGCCCTAAGTTGAGACATGCTTTGTAGAGCATCTTGACAAAGCTTGGCAATATGAGCAATGTGATATTGGTATTTATCTATGGTGCAATTCACTTAGTCACCACTCAATTTTTAGTAATTTTGAGACCCCCATGGCTCTCTAGATAGTTGAAGCTATACTAGATAGCTGTTTCCACATGAAATTAGCTGAAAGATAGCACTAATTGACTGTTACTCTGTCTGAAAAATATACAAAATTTCCATTATTTGACTATATCTCATGTCCATCCTCTGGTTCTGCCATGCTTATATAATGTACAAAATTGGTGGTGACTAAGTGAATTCCACCATGCATAGGCTAGACCACCCAGTGTCCAAGGGGTGGTTTCATTATTTTTCAAAAAAAAAATAGATATACTATCGAAAAGTTTTTTTAAGGCCCTTCCACATGCTAGATTCAAAGCTCGCATTCCCTATAGAAACATGAACACAAATGTCATCTTTTAATCTCAGTATACTGTAGTAATCCAACCGTAAGTTCAGTGGGCTGGATGCGTAACCCATTGAACTCAACATGTAACAAGTTCATCAGTAATGAAATTGCTATATATGGCTGGCCCAGCAATAGCCAGCCACAAAATTGTTGCCTAATTGAGTGAAATTTGATGGTAAATCTCTATGTAACATATAACCTATTTCAATTGGGTTCAGTTCAGGTTTGCTTGTATGCCTATGTACCATCAAGCCAATATGTAAGAACATCTATTTTAGGCTGCTATACTATATTCTCCCCCCTATTTTAGTGTTTGTCACGGGTGGCATGACCGTGACGGGCCGGGAGGATGGGCCATTGCGGGTACGGGTACGGGCCTGGTGCCCTGAACCTGCTGGCCTGCACCTTGGCCCACTGGACCCTGCTGACTGGCATGCCGGTGGTTGGTGGTCAAGGCTGGAAGCTGTTGCGTCACTTGATGACATTGGATTGGATTGATACGCGGCACGGTCCGACTGACAAACACCGGTTTCCAGGAGTTATCCCGGTGTACATACTAAGTATCTACACCTTCGCCCCTGGCCCTCCCTGTTACTGAATAGCCGAGCTCATGAAGTAACTATACTATGTCCCCCATGGTAGAGCTACCACAATAACTGAAGGGTTACTGTGTCAGAAAAAGTCAATGAGTTAAATTGTGCACGATAACTTCACAAATTGGCATGCGCTCTGATATGTCATGCTACAGGACAACTTGAAACTGTAACTTTTGTCAGGATTTTTTGGGGTGTTATTCAACAGTGGGTTCTGGGAATTCCATTACAGCTCTACACCTCTCTGGGAGTTCTTGTGTATGCATATGGTGTGTTCCAGTGATTCACAATCAATACCTAATTTTCACCACCGCCTGTCTCACTGCCCTCCCATTCACTGACCTCGGAATCAGCAAGTACCTTGTAAACCTGTATGGAAGGCTTGTTAATTTGGATATATACTAAGCCTTGAATGTTTTTGTCAGAACAAAATTGTAATTTTTGGAGGGCTTGTATACTGTCCGTCATATCAGAAGTCCATGGAAAGGAGTTTGAGAGATATTTTCTGACAAAGACAACCCAATTTAGCAATAAACCAGATCCCAAGCAAGTTTTGTATTGAAAGTGGCCAAGAATGGCCATCCCGAAATCCCTGATCAGTGTCACACGGTGCCTGTCATCTTCACCTGTGCACCTAAACACGTCCTCCCTGCTGTTGGGACGCGTTTTTTTCACGTGGGGCCAATGTCGAGGGCCCCAATGCTTGATACCTGCTATCAATATGGCAAGTAACAGCTCCTCAGCAAGCAGGAGTGCACCGATTGAGAGGGTTACAACTCAGAAGAAGATTTTTATGAAGTAAGATAATATTTTTTTTAATCTCACATAATTAGAAGTATCTACACACTATATAATATGGATATTGACCCCTTCCGAGCCCCCTATAGCACAGGGAATTGGAGGTGAATGAATTTCGCTGATTGGTGGATGACTAAGCGAACACCGAGCATCATCAGGGTTGCCCATCACCAGAAACATCAAGCACTGAGCACTCATATTTTTGGAGCTGTCAATTTTACCACATGATGGTGATATCATCTTTCTCATCATATCAGATTGATGTCAAGGAATCTGTCATTGTTGTCGCAGGTGGTTGTAGGCAATTATAGACACTGCACTTGTGAAACCAGCTACAGGGTGTAGAGAGAAGGACTAGAGCTGTCTGTTACTCAATAGAAACAAAAAAGAAGTGCTTCAATGCCACAAGGACCTGTGAATATGCCCCAAGAGGTTGGATACCAATGTAACGGCAACCCTGGAGACTCCGACGAAAGCCTAGCAGGGGAGGATCCAAAGCGTGAATAAAAGCTACAGAAATACACGGAGGGACCGACCTAGCAGGGGAGGATCCAAAGAGAAGAAACTCTAAGGGTCTGCCTGCTAGAGCGCCAACTATATACTGGTTGTCTGTAACTGCCGACGTAGAGCGCAGAAGGCCTGAGCGGTGTCGCAGGCTCTGTCCCAAGGTGATTGTTGGGAGGGTCTTGACGGATCGGTGATTGTGCGGGCGAAGGAGGCCGAGGACGAGGGTCGGGGTAGGTCGGAGCGTCTGAGGGGGCGGCAGTCGGATGTGCCTCGGATGGGCTCAGACGGTCCAAAGGAGGCCAAAGTGGGGGTTCCCCTGACAACCAAAATCTGGACAAAAATTTGCAAATCTCAACCAACGTGAATACACAGGGAAAGTGAACTAATAGAGGAGTTCAATCAAGACCTCAACCCTATTAATCTACTAATCCACTATTTGTTTGTGTATGTGTGTGTGTTCGGGGGTTCGAGTTGCAGGAAACAACTAACTGACTCAGAATATCCAAATATAGCAATAGAATCTGCTTATTGAGAACTTTCTACAGATCACTTTGTACTGTTGTTATGAAACACAGAAGAAGGAACAATTAAGCTCAACCTCTAAAGTGCTTCACAAAATGAACAAGAATATGTATCTGTTCTTGACACAAGATACTAACTCAAATATGCAAACAAACTTGCTTCCTAGCCACTTGTTTCTTACTATAAACAAGATCCCTTGCTTCCTTGTCCTTGCACTTAACCTAACTTGACTACTACCTTGCTACCTGGTTACCTGGTTGTCACACTTGTGACCTAGCTGCCTTGCTTACTTGCCAAATATGGTAATAAGTGGGGTGGGATTCGTTCCTTTCATCTACTACAATCGAGCTCCTTATATACTACTCAGAAATTAATTATGTAATGTGACAATTAAACCAATGATGTGACAAAAGAAGCACTATGACTCAGTTGGAGTCAGTATGACTCAGTTCGAGTCATTGTGGCTGTGCATTCTAGAATATTCTGGACAATCAATCTTCTATATTGGAATGTTCTATTCCCATAACCAATGGTTCTGGTTCAGGTCTAGGCCGGAGTTCTGTGGCTGTGCTGCTAGAGCGGTCCAGAGCTGGTATTCTTAGCATTTCTGGGTTCATCTAGGTCTCTAGACCTATCAGACTCATATAATTCTGCTATAACTTTGGAATGTTCTCAAGTATTTAGAGCATTCAAATCATAATATTTGCTCTGTTTGATCAGTTTCTAGATGTGCTCCATTTACAGGCTCATCAACGTTAGACCAGAATCCGGACAAAAATTGGGCCAAAACCAAAAATGTTGGATCCACAGTCCGGACAAAAAAATTCCTCTTGGACAGGTTGGATCCGAGTCCGGCCAAAAAATGCATGTTTGGGCAGACAAATCATGTGCAATCAGACAAGAAATGTATCGAAATCACATTTGACATAAAATCAGCCTGGATCAGAGCTTCGCAGAAAAGTGTCTTTTTGAGACAACTTTGCTTAGCATGGCTTTTCTCAGCTAATTTTAGCTGACTTGGGGATTTTCCCTGATTTTCCCCAAATTTGCCACTTGGGGCTAGGTGTGTTCAAAATCCGGACAAAAGAGTTCTGGTCCAATATCCAAAAAATCTGGACAAATTTTGGCAATCACCCATTTCAGTATCCAACCTCTTGGGACATATTCACACGTCCTATGCCACATTTGCCTTGGATGTGTTCGCGCAAGGACACATAGCAAGCACACCACAAGGTGGGTTACATTCACTAGGTGAGGATAAGAGCACAGCTGGACAACCTTTGGAACGGCAGTCTGGCCAAGGTCCAGGCAGCCCAGACCTTGTTGTCGGGCGATAACTTGATATTGGCGCCGAGATCTGCCCTGATCATATTACGCGGGCTGCGGGCAAGTGGGCTACCTGCGGCCCGCCCGCTAAACCCCGCCGCCATGGGCTCAGGCAAGGACGGGTACAGGCCACCCCGGATTTACCCGCGGGTGGCGCGTGACAAA